TAACAACAATAAGAACAATTGATGGTTTATAGGTTAAAACAAATAAGAATGCAGATTAGACAGACTGTAGAGGCCTCCCAGAGGAGGTACTACGATATGAGTAGACCTACAGACTTATGACCTCAGTCGTCGAATCCTTAAACCTAATAAAAAAAACTATATAAAATACTAATAATAATAATGTTTTAATGTATCTATATAAAATAAGTTATAACTAATTATATTTCAGATCATTATTGACTACCTATTGAGTTTATCATACTACATTTATAAGGGGACCCACCGGCTACCACTCATCCCTCTATTTAAGAAAAATCTTAAAGGCAATTGCCTCTTAAATTACCATTCACATTTCACCACGTCATTGTTCGTAGAGGTTATATGTTGTGGGAAATCGACAAATGATATTAAAACTTGCCGAGCCTTATTTTATCACATATATATTATTATTATGTTATGTATACTTATAAGTTATGATTATAATTTATAGTATTTATATATTACTATACAGACACGAATATGGGCGGTATATTATGTGTGTACGACCAGAAAGTTGATAGCTTCGTGGATCTCAGCTGACATGAGAGTCGTAGACTCCACAGCGGCAGTGCCGGATCTAGGAAATTTGACAACGGCCTTCAATGTGTTAAATAACCGATGACTACGGTATTTGAGTTTGGTTTTCTAGACAGCAAACTTATACTTCGATATGGGGAAAAGTCGCATCAAAATAGCTTTGAACGACTTCGAGATCATACAAAATTTTGGAGATCAGGGCTGGATTAAGGCCCAATGCCGCCATGGAGCAAACATTTTTTGCCGCTCCTCCAGCCACCCCCCCCCTTCCACCACCACCAAAAAAACCCTAAAAAAACATGAAGTAATATGTAAGTATTTATTTATTTATTATCTAAGTATTTATATCAAAATATTTTTACATTTCATATTTATGAAATTTTTGTTTTGATATGGATACATTTTTTGAAGAGCTGGTAATAAGTTATAAGTTAGGAGACGGAATTTCATTGTTTTTTTGTTCATCAAAATTATTAGTTTCAGCTAATGAATCAATAATAGATAGACTACTAGAATTAAGTTCGTTATTGTTGAGTTTTTCTACAACTTCGTCGTTTTGAACACTTGAATATGAATCCTAAAACCAAAGAATAAAACTGTGACGTCGAACAACAAAATTGAATTCAATAAAACCAAAATTAAACAAAAAATATTCAATTGTATCACAAAATATATCATTACTATCTAATAGAATATTAAAAAAAATGTTCTAAATAAATTCGAACGTAACAACCAAAGATGGTTTATAATTTGTATAAAATAAAATACCAACATGATTTTACGTAACGTCAAGTTATGTACTTACTAAAATCCTACTTGTCGGCTACAGTGTAATACAAAGACATATTTTATGTAATATTTCAAAAATTTACCTTTTTAAAAAAACTATCTAATTTTGCCGTTTTTGCAATAACTTTTTCTTCTTTCAACTTTTTTTCTAATGCTATTTTTTGATATTTCGAACCACTCAGTCTTATTCTTTTCATTATTACTAGTACTACTTCGTAACTATATAACTGACTGACAAATCACATTAATAAAATATTAGTTTAAAACTTTAAAGGTTTGAACTCGTGAACTGCGCATGAAACACTACACGTCTACACAACTAAAGCGACTGCAGATATTGAGATTTGATATTAAACACAAATTGTAGATATTCGATCAAAAATACAATTATATAATATTTAATCAATGCTTATACCTATATAAGTTATAGCCGATAGGCTACTTCTATGAATTATTGTAATCGAAATCGATAAGACATCGTATAATACGTTACTTAACGTCAACACGCGGGTTCCGTTCTAATGTATGTGTTATCTTATCTACCGTACGATATTCGAATCCAATTTTCAATACTTAATTTAAGAATTAGGATAGTCGACGAAGGACAATAATTATTGTAACGACAATTATTCACATTTGATTCCATTATAATTTATAAGTAGAATTCAAAATTGAGAAATAAAAATAATTTAGCATCATTTTCAATTTTAATTTACAAATTATTTTTAAAAATATCCATAGTAAAAAAATATTTTAACATATTGTAATTTATTATTTATTAGACTGGTAGTTTGCCGCCCCTCAAAATTTGCCGCCTGGAGCAAATGCTCCATTTGCACCTAGTATAATGCGGCCCTGTTGGAGATAGGCCAAGTCCTCAAACTTAAACAATTTATTCCTGCAAATATCTCCATCAAACAATCAAAGCACCTTTACACACAGGTTTAAATAATACACTCCAAGTTCAAACTGAGCAGCGGCGCAATGTGCGCAAACGATGAACAATATTATAATAATTATTACCTGATGATTAATTTATTGATTAAAATATAAGCTTAAGCAGTTAAGCACTTATTTTAGTAATTTTTATTTTCATTAACTTTCCCACATTTATTGACAATTTTTAGTATATTCCGAATTTCCGAAGTGACATTGGCGCAACTAGGGATATACTGAGCGGACTTGTAAACCCCCCAGTTTAAAATGTGCACCCCCCAAAAAATAAAAGACTTTTTCCATTATATTTTGATAAGGTATTTAAAAATTATCAATAAAGACTCTACGAGTCTTAAAAATGGCGCTGCACTGATCTTTAGAAAAAAATTATTTTTAAATGTGATTTTGTCATGAAGGGAAGCTTCTGAAGCTGAACACTTCTCCAGCTCCCGAGGTTTTGTATGTTTGCACCTAAACCACTTGTGGTCTGTATCGCTCCAAAAATATATTTCTTTAATCTCTACCACGGTCTTATGTTATACAGGTTTTTTTATCTTATTACCTAGTATTTTTGTTATCTATATAAAGAACTTCAATGTACTCGATGTACCTACCTATAGGATGACTGCAGCGTCGCATAAGTTTCCACACCACCTGGCTTGTTAAACGACATTATATAACATCATCCATATTGTTTAAAAGCATGAGGTATTACACTTAGTGAGTTTTTTTTATTGTGGGGTCCCCTGTAGGCCTAATCCACATCGCAAGCGATAACACGCGAACACCGGTTGACTATAATAATATTGTAATTTACATATAGATCGGTACAGCGAAAACTGCACTACTCTTGTATACAATTTTTCGTTATTTATACATCGATATAACATATTTTAATATAAATATCAAATTTAAAGTTGAATAGGTTTATTATTTAAATTTTAAATTTTGTCGCAACACGGCCTTCGCACATTTTCGGCTAACTATAGCGTTGAATTTTAGTGTGTTTCAGCCTCTGGAAAGGCGAACTAGGCTGGTGCCAAGGGATTTGTATTTGTCATATATCATCATAATAAGTCCAAGTAAAAAATAAAAATACAGTAGTTTTAAATTATTAGGATGATATCCTCCCGATCTTTATTTAAAATTCAACACTGTCTTAATATTATATAACTATAACTATATTATTATTACTATTATTATTAATTATTATATTTATTATATGTATTATTAATCTGGACATACGGATTGCAGCTATGGGGAAATGCTAAAAAGTCCAATCTGAATAAGATTCAAGCTTTCCAAAATATGACCCTTAAGGAAATCAGTTAACGCCCCTCCATACATATCAAACCATACCCTACATACAGATTGTAACTTAAAAACTATTCATGACGAAGCTTAACGTTTTTATAAAAAAATTCATAACTGTCTATCTTCCCATTAAAATCCTTTTATCAAGAACTTATCATCACTCACAATCCCAGGTAGCCCCCAAAGGCGCAGTGGCAGATACGTGGGGGGAAGGGGCGTCCCCCCCATTGGCTGTCTTCTTAACGTACTACATACTACATAAATATACATTTGAAATTATTATTCATAGATATACAGTGTTAAGGGGAAATTATACAGGAAATCATTATAATTTGTGCACCCCTAAAAATATTGGTCTGTTGGGCCTATACGAAGTGACCTAACCATAGTTTAACGAACAGAAATCTGTATGCATATAGTATCTAATATCTATACATCTGCCGGACAAAAAAATACCTTTAAACTTATGTATAGCCGTATAGGTACTCCAACTATAGATTAAACGTGTTCAATCAAATAATATGCTTGAAGCTTGAACCGAACTCGATTCTTGTTACATCTTGTGTAACCAACTTACCAACATTGCGTGTTCCGGTTTTCGTAGATTAAACCATTGATTAAATATACATATAATTTAATGATTAAACATAATTCAACAGAACAATATAATATTAAATATAATAATTAATATTAATTAATCTATGGTTTAATGGTTTTAAGCTATATTTAGCTGTATATAATCTATGATTCGTTTTGTGAGATACGGTGTTATCACTTAATACTTATCAAATATTACATCGATACCATCCACCGACCGTCAGCCAGCCGTCGCTAGCATAAATGCATAATACTACTAATATAATACTTTATCAACGTCGTCAAACGGTTTGAATAAAAAAAAAAAACGAATAGGCAGGTAGAGGTAGGTCGAGTTTATTACTTTATAGTTTCGATGTGTGCCTCGTCCGCGTTCAGTATGCCGTTCGTGGAATTATTGTCAAAGACTGCCGTGCCCGATGCATAATATAATATTATTATTATTATTATTTGATTTCCGAAACCGAAGAATGTGATTTACATAAATTATTCGAATGACTGTTGCTAGTGCATGTACACCGTCCAGTTTGCGTTCTGCCGCTGTCGCGTGTGCGATGTCGGAGATGTCGTAGTCTGTCGGTTAATAATTTTATTATTGTTTATTCAATATTATAGTCTTTGAACCCACGTAAATTCGTCCGTTATCGTTGCTCTTGACTCTTCAGTTTTTTTTCCTTCCGTCGACGTTTTTAAGCCCCTACGACCTACCTATACTACTGTATAATCGTGTTTAAAACCCAGAGAACAATCAACGACCGACCGCGTGTGGAAACACTGGTGTCTCAGGCATGGATACCGTCAAGGAATGCGTAAAGGATTGCGTTGACTACTTTAAAGACCCCGAACTGGTCGCCCGTTTTCAAAGGTCTTTTGGAGTGGTGCGGTATGGCTCGTCGGACAATGGTGTTACCGTTCCGTCGTTGGACAATGGTGAGTCCAAGACCAGCAATGGCAATGCGTTGCGCAAGTCAAACGACGTCAATCACACCATCACTAACAAGTTTTGGTATTACTTGTTTTTGTTCGGCACATACCTCGGTGATGAAATCGGATATGCCATCGTCATACCATTCTTGATATGGAACATAGACTCGGCCGTTGCTAGGAAAATGGTCCTCGTCTGGGCAGCCGTTATGTACATTGGTAATAATGTTTGTTGTTAATGCTTCAAACTTTTCTAACAACATTGTTGGTTTTCGTGTTAATTTCTGTTCAGGTCAATCCATTAAAGACATAGTACAATGGCCGAGACCGGAATGTCCTCCGGTTGTTAGACTACAAACTAAATGGTCTATTGAATATGGAATGCCTTCGA